GCTGAGCATCTCTCAGGGAGCTGCTGCTTCTGGTCCTGCTGTGATGAATTGCTGTGACCGTGTTTGTCCAGTTTCCAAGGACCCTGACTGTCCATCACTTGGCTAAAATATGAAGGATTGAAAACTGGTGGGATGGGAACACTGTCAGAGCTCTTGAATGAGGAAGATGTCTAGTGTTCTTGTGTAACCTTGTGTCATTGCAGGATGTGCTCTTTGGGGCCAGAAGTCTGTGTCAGCCGTACCAATACTCAGCAGTCTGTGTGTGTGTGAGAGAGAGAGAGAGAAAGAGGGAGAGAGACAGAGAGAGAGGGATCCTGGAAACACACTTAGGAGACAAATCCCTTTTGAGGTTGAGGGCATGCAACTGTGTGGTTTTAATTTTTGTTGTTATTATTAAACATTTGCTGTGTGCTAGCAGCCCGCGATTATTAGTCCTGGTGAAGTCCATCTGGATAGTGATCATCTCAAGGGTCCTCCTGTGACTTCTCTCAGGGCCAGTAAAATCACTGCTTGGTTTGCGTCTGGCTCTCTACTGCAACTGGCCTCTGGCAGAGGGACTTTAAATGGAATCTAGGAAATTCACTTGGTGCCACAAGACAAACTAAGTATTGAGCTGGCAAACGTTTTCCTGGTGGCCATTCTTGCAACCCCCACATATATGGTGAGAGGATTCTTTACTTAAGAGATATCAGAAAAACTGTACCTTCTTTCAAAAAGGGAGAAGGTTCTCTGTCGACCTCCAGCAGAGCATCCTGGTCAGAAGCCAGGGGGACAGAATCAGGTACATATCTTTGCCATGTAGCTTATTAGCTGTGTTGGCTTCTGATACGTTATTTTACCTCTCTGTGCCATAGTTTTCCTCACTGGTAAAACAGGATGTGAAAATGAAATGAGATCATGCGCAGAAAGTATTTGTCATGTATAAAGTTTACAATAATCATTTGCAATTTTGATTAATATATATTAACCCTGTTATATACACACATATTCATATGCGTAGACATGTCTGTGTGTTTTTTTTCTTAAATACTACGTATGATTTAGAAATATATACTATGGGATGAAAGTAATAACACAGTATTATTTTATGTATCATGGTAGTGTTAATGAGAGTGAAAATAATAGCAGTGAAGTGGAACAGTTCCCAGGAGGCTAACAGGTCTAGAGAGCCAAGCTGTTTCTAATCCCCAGGCCTTAAAAACATGCAGCTGATGGAGGTCTCCAGCAGGTCGTATCCCTGAGCTGCTCTGCCTTCTGGGGGTGCTTGGTGGTAGCACCAGCTGAACCCACCTGCTGTCACCCCACTCAGGTGCATCAGGGCTGTGTGAAGGCGAGGACAGTGGACAGGCACCCTGAGGCCAGTGCTGGCTGCGACGACAGAGTTGTTGGGAAACCTCCTGGGTCAGAGAAGGGCTGTCCCCTTTGGGAAAGAAAACCGCAGGCCTGCCACTCCTCTGCGAGGCCACCTGCACCAGACGGAAGTTTAGTTCTGTCCAGTCAAGTGGATAACACCCTTGGAGCCTCAGGGTGACACCCGCTCAGTTTGCTTTACAACGTCGCCAGCCCAGGGCTGGGAAGCTGGGGAGATGGGCTCCTTCTGAAGCAGCCCTTGTCCCAGCCCTGTCCAGCTCCTCCTCGCTGTCAGCTGAAGCATCTAAGTGTGAGTGTCCACGCAGACTCCTGGTGACTGCTGCTCTGCAGAGCCACTCTGAAGCCCCAGAATGACATGCAAACCTGGAAAGCCAGCAGCTTGCTGCAGACGCCGAAGTCCCGGCTTTCCCCAGCTTGCTGACAATTTTATTTCTGGTTTTGTTCCCTCACTTTGGTCGTATTTATGATTCGACTTTGTCCCAGTGCTGAGGAATGAGGGCCAGTGCTGGAGAGATGAGGTGAGGAGAGACCCAGCTCACACAGTGTTGGGGGCCTGCTGTAAGGGGGGGCGTCCCAGTAGGTGCGTGACATACTTCATTTCACATCATCCCTCTCGGCCCCACGCGAAGGTGCTGAAGCTCAGGGGGCACGGGAACAGGCCGAGGCGCATGCAGGGGCTGCCGGGACCCCCAGGATTCCCACCCGGGTCCCCGTAGGCCCAGAGCTCTGTGTTCTTCGGCCTTAGACTACAGGAAGGAGCAGTTGGCTAGAACGTGTAGACCAGCCCTTATCAGGATGTGTGCCTCGGCACATGGTGTCCCTTTGGAATGCAGAGGTTGTGAGCCGGCAGCCTCGGGGGCCGTGCCGCCTGCAGATGCAGGCACAGTGTTAAAACGAGTGAACAAGAATGACTCATTCTTTGGACAGAGTGTGGGTTCCGCACACCTCATCACTCCCCACTGGTCTGTGCTCTTCTCATATCACCCCCTTCTGCTGCTTCCCAGCCCTGCAGGCATCTGCTTTTGCTATTTTGTCCTGATAAAGACGGCCTGCCCAACTACGTTGGAATATGCTGTATACTGCAGTGGCCTGGAGGCATGTCATGATGAATCTTAACATTAAAATTCTAAGAAGTTCTGCCAACCTGCCCCCAGCAAACCCCGCCTTACTGGTTCATCTTTGCTCAAGCCAGACTTTCCCCAAATTATTTGATTGCAAATCCTTTCCCCCCAACAGAATGCCTAACACCATCCTGTGGGACAAGGGTGTCCCAGTGGAGCCTGGTTTTAGAAACACTGACTTTGGAATCTTGTTATCTCTTGTCATCTTGTTTTGAAAGAATAAAGAATAAATCTCTAGACACAAAATCCAATAACTATAAAGGAGACGCCTGACACATCTGACAACATACAAATTAAAATCCTTCTGTGCAACGGAAAGACAATAAACAAAGCTAAGAGACAAGCAACAAAGTACAGGACAGGCATGAGAGAATTCTTGCAAAGTGTATTACTGCAGAAGGGTTCATATTAATGATATATAAAGAATTCCACACCAATAAGAAAAGAACGCACCCAAAAGAAAAACAGTAAAAGAATATAAACAAGCAGTATAATAAATGCAGTTGTTCAATAAATATGAAAAATGTGCCCACCTGCATTCAGAACTAAAAAGTTCCAAATTACAGTTGCAAATTATGTATCAGATTGGCAAAATTAAAAAGATTTGTATACCAGCGTTAGCAAGGTTACAGGGAAAAGAGTACAAGGAAATTGGTTACTGCTTCTTTCTAGTAATATGTCAGTATCTCCTAAATGTGTGTGTAAATGCATTTGCATGTGCTTTTGTATATATGTGTATACATTTTTATGTACTAATTTCTCTTCAGGCAGCCGCCCATCCGTCCTACAAGGGCTCTCACAGAAACACAAACATGTATGTTCAATATTTTCTTGCTGCCTATTTTATAATAGAGAAAAACTGAAGATAGCATGGAGCCTGTCAGTACGGAGGATGGGATGTACCCACACCGGCATTGCCGTGCAGCGGTTAGAAATGAAGACGGCACGCTGTGAAATGGTGTGCGAAAATACCAGTGACACATGGTTAGCTGCAAAAAGCAAGTTATAGAACCGTATAAATCACACACATACAGTGCACGTGCACGTACACGCATCACAGACACAAACACACGTGCATGCATGAAATGCAGTCTGGAAGGAAACTCACCGCCATACTGACAGTGACCTCTTCTGAGGAGGAGGGACGGGGGCTGAGGTGGAGGTGTGGGACTTCCGTGACAATTTTCACCTTATACTTAACCTTGTGGGAATTTCTTTACATCAAACGTATTACTGACTTGTAAAAATCCTAAAGAACAAGAAAAAAAAAATGATGAAGGCATAGAGAGAGACAGTTGCTGTTTGAGTGAGGTGGGTATGCAGATTAGGGGTTACAAGGCGGAGTGGAGGGAGGAGGTGGCTCTGTAAGCAGCCTGTCTGAGTTTGAATCCTGGCTCTCCCACTTGCTAACTTTGTGATCTTGGGCTTGTTACTGAATCTCAATGCCCTAGAGGCTCCTTATCTATGAAAATAGTATGTCCCTTGTAGGCTGAAACAGAGTTTAACAAGATTATCTAACAATGGTGTTCAGCATGGTGTTTGCCCCACTGAACAGTCTCAGAAAATTGTAACAGTTACGTTAACCAAAAAGCTCAACTATATATGGCTAAGGAGTAAGATTTTCCTTGAAAAAGGAATTTTCACTACTTTAATTTTGGTCTGTTTGTAGAAGGGTGATACTTCTTGACTATGGAACACTTAGAATATACATACAAATAAAAAAGAAGGAAAGAAAATGTGAAATGCGTATGCCTGCCAAATTTTTAAACATTATTTTCCAGCCATATGACTTATAACTCCTTCTGCAGAAACTGTGGTCTGCTCTGCTGTTCAGCAAATGGTGCTGTTTTATGAGGGTCCTGGTGTGTCCTCCATCTCTGAGTGCACTGGTTACCTTGCGCAGAGGGAAAAAGCAGTCCACCACGATGCCCAGTTTTCCTAAGCCAGCTAGTGGAGCAAAACGTGCCCAAATTGTTCACAAATTGGCCAGAGAGAAAAAGAAAATTAGAAATAACAGTCCATGCCATCCTTGCCACCAACAAAACAATTCAAGTACACCACTTTCCGATAATGACACAAGTTACCTTTTAGTGAGCACCCAAAATATGCCTGGCTGTCTGCTGGGTGCCTCATTTATATTATTTTAACCTTTGCAATCCTGCAAAATAGGCATTATTCCCTCTGCTTTATAGATAAGGAAGTTGAGACATCAGAGAGGCTAAGTGTTTTGTCCAAAGTAACACGGCTGCTAAGGAGTCGAACCAGGATTTGACCTCAAAGTCTGCGCTTGTTCCCCGATGCATTACTGCCCCCTTGGAGATAGAAGGAACTTTTGTAAGAAGTACATGCTAATGTTTCTGTCTACATGCAGAGTCTTGAGTCACTGCAGCGGCGCCCAGGACGCGGGATCGTCCTCCCCCGGTCTGTGTCATGTTGCGGAGTGTCCTCATCCCCAGGCAGAGCTGTTGGATGTGGGCACTGCTCATGCTCATTTCACTTTCTACCTAGGTGGCAGCTTTGAAATACATCCCGTCTGTCCTTCACGATGTGGAAACCGTCTTTGATGCAAAGTTACTCAGGTGAGAGCGCACGGTGTACTCCCCTGGTCTCTGCTGTCCAGTCAGGGAAGAGGGGTAGGAGGGCTCTTGGGGGGTTCCAGATGGCTGCTGAGCGCGGGGACAGGGAGGACGCACGGTTGGAGCTTCCTTCAGGGACTTCAGTGTGGGATTTTCACATTTACATTTGGTTGTGTTGGATTTGGGGGAAACCAACTATAAAGTAAGCCCCCTTCTTGGATGATACCAGTGATACAGAGTACAAACGTATTAGCTGAAAAACTAGTATTTGGTGGAAACGTCTCCATTTCATCTGGGCCTGAAGGTTATTTTGGGGTTCCAGTCTTTGCCAGGTGAGCCCTGCAGTTACAAATGGAGAACAACCCCTGGACACTGAATGGGATCATGGAGACGGGCTCCTTTCGCCCCCCTCCTTCTTCACCCTCTTCTCTCCTGAGAGGAACACATTATTTCAATGTGCTTATGCTCTTGGAATAGGAGCATCTGAGCCAGATGTGCCTTTTTCTTCTTTTTCCTACAGTCACTTAAGTTCCAAGATAACACATAGAAGATTTTTAAAAACTTTTTTGTATTGAAGTACTTTTAGATTTAGAAAAGAGTTGCAGAGTTAGCATGTTGAGAGCTCCCATACACCCATCACCCAGCTCCCCTTAATGCTCACATTTTATATAACTACAGTATAGTTATCAACACCGAGACGTCAGCGTTGGTACAGCTCTACTCAGTGCATCCCAGACTTTATTCAGCTCCCGTCAGTTTTTTCACTGCTCGTAGGAAGATTTCCGCTGGCTCCTTCTCACTCATCTGGTCTCCAGCTAAATGTTAATCTGCTTGGAGAAGCCACCTCTGAGTACTGAAAATAAATTCCTCCCTCACCCGCTGCACCATTGCTCTCTGACTCAACTCCTGTTTATCTCCTTCATTGCATCTGTGGCCTTGTAGTGATTTGTTCGCTTTTGTGTTGTATGATGACCTTCATTAGAATGCAAGTTCCATGCTGATTGGGGCCGGGTCTGCTCCCGTCTTATCCCCACTGCTCTGCACGATGCCTGTCACGTATTAAGTAGACGCCTAATAAGGACTTTAAAGAATGAATGAATGCAATGAGCTTATTTTGGAAAGCTGACAGGGGCTATGATGGTATTCAGTGGTGTTTTTATTTTCACTTTTTTGGGAAAGAGTTACCTCTTTTTTCATATCCCAAACTGATTCTAACCCGCAACTTCTGAGAGTTTTTTTTTTTTAATTTAGGACCTTTTTTGATCTTAAGACTTATTATAAAGCATTACTAAGCATAAAACAGTAGTAAATAAAATGGTATGGTAATGAAGTCAGATCCTGGTTTTAAACCCTTGTTTCTTTGACAGCCCCTAGCTGTGTAACCTTGGGGAAGTCAGTTAACCTTTTTAAACCTTAGTTTTGCCACTGATAAAATTGAGGTAAGCATTGGATCTACCTCATAGTGTTGTGAGTTTTGAACTGCACAATGGATGTCAGGTGCAAAGCAGGTGCCCCATACATACAGTAGGTAGTTGAGTTTATCGGTAACATTTCCAGATTTTCACATCTCTTTGAGTGCTGTTACTACTCAACACTAACACCAATGCACATATTTATGGAAGGCTTACATTTACCTGACACTCTGCCAGGAATCGGGGGCTGAGGGAGCAAGATGCACATTGTCTCTGCTTTCGCAGAGCTGGCCGACTGGGAATGGACCCTAAGTGCCAGGAGGTGGCAGACGTAGGGTTAACCAGCTCTCTGTGCTCCTGTTCTTCCTGCCCTCAGCCAGCTCCTGTATGAGTTCTACACCTGCATCCCTCCCGTAAAACTGCAGAAGCAGAAGGTCCAGTCCATGAATGAGATAGTCCAGAGCAACCTCTTTAAAAAGCAAGGTGAGTCCAGAGCATCCCGGCTGGTTGTGGGCACTAGAAACCCCCCGTGCTTGCCACCTGCTGCCCTGCTACCAACGCGTTTCTTCTCTAACAGCTGCCTCGGTCTGAATAAATGAGAAAAGTAGAAAGTAGCTGACAACTTACGTAGCAGAATCGAAACTGATTTTAGGAAAACTTAGGTTGTACTGTTTGTTTTCCCTGAGAGATGTTAATGAGGGGCTAAATTTGGAGTCATCTGCTTTTAGGTCATTCTGCTGGGAGATTTTTACTATACACGGTTTATACTGGAGAGGAAGTGGGTAAAGTTCCTTTCGGTAGAAAGAGCCTGTAACGGAGAAGTTCTCAAAATTTCCAGAGTGTAGGAATAAACTGGAGGGCTTGTTAAAATGCAGACGCCTGTGACCCATCTCAGAGATTTTGACTGAGCAGAAGTTAGTCTTTTTTTTTAAAGTTTTTAAAAATATGAATTAGTTTTGGACAGGCAACGCATTGACATGGGTCAAAATGCAAGGATAAGAAAGGGTTCCTGGAGGCCTTATGCATAGCCGCTGCGATCCCTGCAAGAGGCACCACTGGGTCCAGTTCCCAGCTGTGTTTGCTTCCAGGGACACTCACTGTATAAGCAACCAAATACATATATTCTATATATTCTCCCCTGGACTCCTGTTATGATTATTACATAGTAGCGTTTTATACAGCTGCTTTGAACATAGCCCTTCTTCACGTAATGGTGTTTCCTGGAGAGCAGGGAATGACAGTGGACTTGGGCAGGAGCTGTGGTCAGCGCTTCTGCTCACCCAGACTGATCTCTGGTAACCACCAGTCCCCACCAGCACCCCACACTCAAGCCTTGAGCTTCCCTGCTTTTGAGGCTGATGGGCTGGATGGCCTCATGTCCTCCATCCAGGAGCAGAGCAGATGTAAATATTCAATATTCCTGACATCACTCCTCTCTGTGAGGGTCAAAGAAAAAAAAACTTTTGAAGGTCAGCTCTGTTTCCTGTACCCTCAGAACAACCCTTTCCAATTTTTACAAACTGTGCAGAAAACAAGAAGACTTAGAAAGCTGGGGACCAGTCATCACTCAACCGGGATTTATTCAGAGGGAGGCTTGAATATTTATGTAAACCATAGAAATATTCAGGAACCATTTCGCCATAGAGATTTTTCTTTTCTCTAATGCTTGGTTAACATGGTGCATCCAAAATTTCTGTCTGAATCCCATCTCTTGGAGTTAAGGGTTGGAGAAGGGCATGAGAAGAAAGTGTTATGATTTTATATTATTCAAGCCTGAAGTTTTCCTGACCATTTAGAAGAATGTCTGACACCAGGTTGATGCAGCACACATCTGGCTTTTTTGGGCAAGCTGGTTTGTGCAAGGTGATTGGAAACTAATCTTGGTTAAGTCTTGTTGTGTTTCTTGTATTACTGTGGGGTTTTTTTGTTTGGTGTTTTTGTTTTTGTTTTTGTTTTAAGTAAACCTTCCTTGGTTTTCAAGTTCTGACTTCTGCATCAGAATGAATTGCCCTCACTCTGAAAACTTTGAAATCTGCCTGCCCCTTCCTGCCCTGGCAGTCCCTTCCTGGATTTCAGGTGGTGTCACAGTAGAAATGAATTGAGTCCCATCCTAGGGACGTGACAAGGACGGTGCTTGCTGCATATGGTCCCGCGCAAGCAGCAGAAAGCAGGGCTACTTGGCTCCCCTTCATTGTTCAGACTGCCTTTATTGTCAGGGGCTCAGCTTAGCATCAAGGCCAGATGGAGTGTTAGAGTCCTTGATTGGGCATGTGGTATCAATTCCAGCCTGGTGGAAGTTGGAGTAATTCCTTTGCTGGAGTCCCATCTCCTGGGCTGATGCTGGCCCCTGAGGGGTAGCGTAATCACAGGGCAGGCTGGACAGCTGCTGCTCCCCAGTCCTGCTGTGTCTCTGAGTTTCAGAGTCAGGAAAAACCCTCTGATTAATATTAACTGACAGAAGGCCAGCCCCAGTGTTGTACACAGTTAGAAAAGAAATGTGAAATTCTTACCTTTACATATGTACAAAGACTAGAAGTAGGTGAACAGAGAGCCCTTTGGGGACCCATTTCAGAGAGGCTGCAGTGTATAATTAGCCTGTCTGTCCTTGGTTCACATGTGAAAGGGGTATGCTTTTATGCACAGTTGTAAGATAACTCCTCTCCTCCTGTTTATTTGCTAAGTGAACGCTCTTCCCAAAATAACCCCAAAGGGAGACCTCAGCTCAGCCCTCTCGTCTAGTGCTCAAGTTCCAAACGAATACCGTCTGGATTCATGCACACGCGCTGACTGGGTTTCTGTGGCCTTGGGTGAGCGTCTCCTTTACTCCCTGCAGTAAGGCAAGTTGGATTCCCTGGTCAGGTCCGAGCTGTAATGAAAGCCCTCCTGCTGTTTGTTCTCCCTGTGAAGTGTCCTGTGCCTCGGGATGTGATTTGCTGTGAGCCTGCACTCATTTGACTGCCAGATGTGCAAATTGCCTGGAGTACTGTCGGTGACATTAGCTTGTACTCACAGCCTTGAACGCTTGTATTGACATCAAGCAGAGCAGCCAGAAGGCTTTTAAGCACTTTCTGAGATGTTGGCAGACCATCCCGTTGGCCTGTCTTCGGGGGGATCCTGTGGAGAAAGGCGGAGAAGGTTTACTGGTTAAGGGCGCTGGTTCTTGGGTGGGATTCCTGGTTCAGCGTCTTATCAGCTGGCTGACCATGGGCAATTTACTTAACGTCTCTGATCCTCAGTAAGCTTATCTGTAAATGGAAAAAACTAATAGCAGTGTCTGTCTTAGAAGGTTGTCCTGTGGGTGATGAGACGGGCAGTGCGTTTAAAGTGCGTATCACAGCAACTTAATACCCCGTCCTAAGTGGTTACTGTTGTTACTGGTGTTGCTGTGGTTATAATTCCTGCTCGTCTTTTCATCTTCATCCAGCTTCTGTCCTAACCTTCGGACTCCTTGAGATAAGAGCAACCCTTCAGGGTTAATAGGCACATGTCTCCCTTGCTTCCTTGCTTCCCTCGAAGCTCTGTGCTCTTCCCCAGGGCCTGAGATACACGGGACTTAATGAACCAAAGGGCTTTGGTCTGTATGTGCTTCCCATTCTGGCTGTGAATGGTTTTTCCAAATTTTATTGCATTTCCCTAGAGTATTTTTGCACAGCCTGTGGGATGTAAACCTAGAAGAGGCAGAGGGCAGGGTGAGATGTGTACGGTCCCCCACCTCACTGTCTGCCTTGCTACAGGGCTCAACGTGGTTCCATAGTTTGGGACACTTGACAGCCGTCCTCTGTGTTGGTTTGCTCCTTAGGGCTCTTTTAAAACACACACACACACACATTTAAATTTTCCTTTTTTTCCTTTCATAGAGGCAGTTAGCTTCCATTAGCTTCAACTTCTACTTGACCTGTGATCTTGAGTAAATTAGTTAATCCTTGTCAGCCTCAATTTCCTTGTCTGTAAAATGGGAATAACAACAGGACGCGTCTCATTGGGTTTTGTGCCGACTCAGTGGCATTATGTGTCCTGTTAGCCTGGGGTATGAGGGAGTCCGGAGTCGCCAGCAGCCAGGGTCCCACGCGGTGTGGCTTCCCCTGTGTGAATGCCTGCACGGTTCAGCGAGAGGGGGACTGGGCAATCTGTGGGGACTGATTTCCTGTTTTCTGCACCCCAGGCTCAGACTTGTGCAGTGATGATGGGAGACAGGATGAATAGGTATGCCCCGAGAAAGCTCTGAGGGGAGTCTGCGAGAAAACCAAACCTTCTGTGCCTTTGGAACAGATTTGTCCCTGTGAGAACCTAATCTCTTAAGTAATGTGTCTTTTTAGTCTGATGCTAATCAGATGTGCCATCTGGTTCAGTGTAAACTGCTTTAGGATCCACATTGCTCTCTTTTCTCAACTTCCAAAACAAACAGAGAAGGGGGTGGCAGGAGAGGGAGACAGAGACACACAGAGAGACAGAGACCTGACAGAGATGTGGAAACTCAATCTTTATTTACAGCTAGTGGAGTTTTCTTTGGAAACTTCGTTGAGAAGCTATTCTCTGAACACAAAGCCTCTAGTTCTCCTCTTATCAAGATGTAATTTCCTTCTTTCCCTCTCTTCTTAGTGTTTGCCCACAGTGTCTGGAGCTTCCAGGGCATCTGTGGTGGGAGGGGGCACAGATATCCGTGTCCAGTGCCCTGAGGGGTTTATCTTTTTACTAATCATCACATCATTGCAGCACTGGACTGGAAACTGGGAAAGTCCTCCCACTCTTGCAATTATTACTGTGCTTGGTGAACTTACATAACATCTCTGAGCCTCCAGGGTTCCACATCCGAAAAGTGTAAGTAGGACTGTTGCCATTAGAATATGGACTTTTGACTTAGGGAATCCTTATTTCTGACCCTGGCTTGGTCACTTACTCGCGGTGTTCCTTTGAACAAGTAACCTCTTTGAGCTTTGGTGTCTTTAGCTACAAAAAAGAATATATTGTGCGTAAAAGAACCAGCACAGTGCCTGACACAGTTGCTGCTGACTTAATGACATCTACTGTATCTGTTGCGTGACAGTAATAACCACCAGAATAATAGTGACCTCAACAGTGTCTTAAAGGGAGAGGCTTAAATTTATTAAATGCCAACTACATCTTAGGTGCTGTATAGGATATAAACATATAATAAATTCCTACAGCAACCCAATTACATAGATATTATTTCCTCCATCCTATAAATGGGGGAATCAAGGCTTAGAGAATCAAGTAACTTTCATTCCAATGAGGCCAGAGATGATACAGTTTATTAGAGCGTGAGTGCATTGGGCTATGTGATGCTGGGGTAACACACTGATCCCCAAATCTCAGTGGTTTAACAAAGTAAAGGTTTATTTGTCTCCTGTGCAATATCTAGTGAGGGACGTATGCCTTTTGTCCCTTTTGAAGCTGTGCCATTTGGTACCCATGGCCTCTTTGCAGCAGGGAAGAGAGGGAGGGAGGAAACACAACCACTCTTA